TTCCTTTGTGTTAAAGGTAATTAAAAAAAAAAAGGCAGTTCATTTTTTATTTTATCAAGTTGACACGCAACGGCTGACTTATCCCGGTGGACGGTTCTCCTGAGTTTCCCCCGCATTCAAGGTTAGGCAACACAAATTTTGGCAAAGTATCATATTCTTCATATTTTTTTTAATCAAAAGTAAAGTACTTTTTTGAGAAGTCTTTTTATAAAAAATAAAAAACAGATTTTTTTTAATAGCATAAAATCATATTGCCTTTCAATTTTTTTTTTTTAAGAAAGAAGACATATTTGTTTCAGAATACAGTCTTTTTTTAAATGAAAAAAGTCTGATTTATTCAGGAATAAAGACACATTTTCGAGTACGTTTTACGGAATGAACTTGTACTTGTTTTTTTAAAGATTTTTTTTCTTTTTTCCAAGAATAAGGTTGCATTTTATTCCTAGACCTGAGTAGTACTTGTCCTTTTTCAAGACTGAAATTACTTCTTTCAATAAAGAATAAAGTCATAATTTTGGCAAGATAAAAGTTGTCCTTTTTGAAGTAAGTCTCAACAACAACTGAAATCATCTGGTACAGGCTCCAAAGCAAACCAATGGAGCTATTTCACTGCCAGTCACGTGTCTGTACCGTCATGTAATGAGTGAGTGAAAAAAACCAAACTTTCCACGTGTTTAATTCTTCAAACTCGTGATTTGAACCGCCTGCTTCTGCAAAAAAGCTTTGCAGTGCACGCGTTGCACAATCAAATCTGTTCAGCCTGCAGTTCCCTCAGCCTCTTTAACGCGCCGTCATATGACCTCCGGAGAGGAGGCGGGAGCTTGGGCCATCTTGCCTGACTTCTCCGCACTGACAGAGAGGAAAAAAAAAAAAAAAACCATCGTACAGGAATTCAGTGGTAAAACCGCAGTAGTCAAGTAAGCGATAGTTGCGCATCAATGAACAGTGTAAACACTGCAGATCCAGTCACTATTGAAACGTTTCTTTGTTTTTTTAAACTTAGTTTATATAAGTTTTGAGAACAAGTCGCTGACAGTATAGAAGTACACTCGCCTGACTTGTTGTGTGTGTGTGTGTGTGTGTGTGTGTGTGTGTGTGTGTGTGTGTGTGTGTGTGTGTGTGTGTGTGTGGGCAGCGTGGGATCGGTTCCAGCTCAGTGATGGCATGCTTGCCTTTTTATGTGCTGGCAACCAATTCGCGGTGTCGTCCCAATTTAGGCGGAAGTCAGCGGGGATATATGGCAAAAAATGCTTTGAAAGAATGAATCTTGGTCTCATTTGTCAATATCGCAAAAACCTGGGATTGGAAGAGAGGTGTGTAGACTTTTTACAGCCACTGTAGCAATCATCAACAGTATGTCAAAATGACTGATAGGTGATTCATCATCAGTAACGTTCCAATTTCAGTTTCGGAATGAGAAATCGATAAATGAGTCACACTCAGAAGTAGAGTTGGGCTATCCGTCAAGCATCTTTGCGGTTGATATGAAACTTCTGCATGTCGTTCTACGGTTTGAGAAGAGAGTTAATCATTGACAGACCTGTTCATGCAACGTGCACACAAATGAGTTGCTTGAACTTTGTCCGTAAAGCGAAACAAAAAAAAACAACCTGCTACGCCAAGATGAGCATGTGTCTGTCGCAGTATTATGTAACAATCTTTTCTGCCATGTCATTGCTGCACTGCAATTAAAAGATGAACTGATAATTCATCATACACCACCAATGAGACGCAAGTTGATTCGTCATCCTGGAAAATTCCGTGTATATTACGCACCCATGTATAATACACCCACCTCCCTGAAAATCAACCTTAAAAAGTCATTTTTATTTCTCTGTACCTGTATAATAAAGTAACCTGATTTGCTGGAATCCATTCTTGTTATCCGGCATGTTTTGTATGCCCCCAGAACAGTCTCACACACTATAAAACATGATGATTGAAAGTCCCCCTTTTGAACTGTTTTGGCTAATCTTGACGTTTAAATGATGGAATTAATTTGAACGTTGACCTTCGTATAGAGACTGCAGGAACAGATAAGAGATGAGTGTAACAAACTGCTTTTCATTTTATTATTGTTGAGTGTTGCTGTTGAAGGGTTGTAATAAGCATGTCAAGCTAAATACTGAAATGTACCAATATATAAACCCACCACTTGTTTACGAAGTGATGATTTTGTTGGTTCAAACAGCACATTTAAGGAACCTTCACCTTGTTTCTGATCACCATACTATGAATCGCAACAGGACTAGCCGAAGTGAATGACTTGAGCTGTATGTCCCAATCAAGCGCGTTTTGCTTGTAGGTTTTTTTTTTTCTTGCGTCAACACAAAATCCTGTTTCGGTGAGGTTGGTTTGATGATATAAGTCTTTCGGTCAGAAACCGAAAATAGTGTTTTGGGTCATTTTTTGGCAGCTGAAAATGTTCTGTGACTTCATTCATTTTTACTGTGTATTGGTAATGTCAGTGTCAAACCCTGTACATTACTCACAAATGTGATCAATTATTAAACAGAAACTACGGAAGCATGGAGGAAACATTTTTGACGAGGATGTGTCATTCGAACGACGTGATAAAGTCGTTAGAACGTACTTCAATGTGGTTTCAGGGTATTATTAATGGTCATTATTCGGGATTATTAAACCAAAACATTATACAAGATGTGCTTGAGGTAAGGACATTGGGTGCGTGAGGTAAGGACATTGGGGACACTATTTTTCTCAAATTAAGAGCGTTTTATCGCAATCAAGACACCCCCCCCCCACCACCCCTCCAAAAAAAGTCTCTTCATGGTGTCGGCAGCCCTGCGTGACGTCACCGATTAACACGACACTTTGAAGGGGGTACAAAAATGCCAACCACAGTCTTTAGGTGTCACACACGCATATTTTAACTCTATATTAGCATAAATGTACGAAAACAAACTTCACTCACCTCGGTCAACCTCCCTCTCGAACATCTGCTCGGCGAAAAAGTCTGAAAAAGTCTCGTTTTTAAGTGGACGTAAATGTCTTTTCAGGAGTTCCTAAGTGGGTTTAAAACACAGATAAAGAGAGATGAGTTAAAAATCTCCCGTGGGAGTGCGGAGGTGCTCCATTGAAGAGGAAGAAGCGATACAACACGGGAGTAGTTGTCACGATAAGAGAGGGAAGAGATTCCAGCGCCATGACTGTGCAAATATCACGCGGACGCGCGCGCACGCACGCCCGCGAACGTACACGCGCCAGCCGCGCGCGCGCACGTCCACCGTCACATTCCTCAAAGTGAAAGTGAGCGTCTGTTTCATAACCGTGTTCCATTACTTTAAAGTAAAAATAAAACCTGGCAAGAATAAAGAAGTTTTTTTTTTCCAAGAAGTTTGGGGGCATAAAATATTTTGCAACATGAATTATTTAGGATTGGTTACAGCGTTTTCCCGAGAAAGAAATCGGCAGAATTTGACATTTAAAAGAATGTTACTTCTTTTTGAAGCGTAAAATCCTAATTTATGAGACTAACTGCAATTTGTCTCATGAAATTTGGATTTAATTGCGCAAGTTGGGCAACGATCTGTATCGATGTGCATTTTTATTTCATGAAACCCCGATTGTGTATGTTTTGATAAATTACTTCTCCGTTACAGGGGTGCTTTAAGCACGCAAATGATTGTGAGTGCTTATGGTCACCTCTCAGTGAGACGTTGTGTTACCCTGGCCAACCCAATGGAAAAAAAAAAATCTGCCTTTGCCCCTGCACGGTAATCCACATAGGCTCAAAGTCAAACGAACTGGGGATATTGCAGCAACAAAGTTTAAAATGCTCTTGAACCAAACCTGAGTTCCAAATTCAGTAGAATGGCCCTGATCTGAATTAGATCAATCAAGTGCTCTCACCTTGAGCTAAATTCAAAATCAAGATATCATCGTCCTGATTTGTTTGGTCACCACGGAAAGCACAATTAATTAACATTAAACATTTCAGTAATAACCTCGGTATGCAGTGGATGTTGTGTACACGTCCAGGAGGGGCCTGGCTTGGGCGAGGCTTTTTTCAGAAGCAACTTACAATATTTCCTCAATTTTTCTTATTTTAAGAAAAGGAAAAAAAAAAGTTTAAATCGTACAAGCTGAAGTGATTTTATTTATTTTTTGTTGTTTTACACACAGACGCGCGCGCACACACACCGACATACATACGTACACTAAACGTGTGTCATTCACTAAAACGAAACAACACCGGGATGAAAACGCTGAAATTTTTTTTTTCACGCATATATGGAAATATGCGTGGATTTGCTGCCCTCTGTTGTTAAAACTGGGTCATTACATTTGGTCTATTGCTTTTTTTAATACAAATGCAATATTCAAAATATTAGCATTCTATTTTTTTCCATATATTGATAGCACCAGAATGCTATCAAAGATTATGTCATTTTTTGTCATTTTAAACAAGAAAAACTATGTGAGTAAAAGTCTCAATTTCATGGGGACTAAGTGACGAAAATATCTGACAAAAATTAATATAGTACTGGAAAAAAAATTAATTCTGAGGGGAAAAAATCACATTTCTGATACCAAAGACTTAATTTCGTGTTTGTTAGTTGTGATATTAGTTATTTGGAAAACATGATTTTAAAAATGCTTTGAAAGATCATCATAGGTATCGGTGGAAAAAAAACACTGGATTCAACAGCATTCCGACTTTACTTCTCTTGGCAGCTTATTCCATTTGCGTGCAGCATTGCAGCTAAATGCTGTGTTATCATGTTAGCTTTGAACTCTGGGCTCCACTAAGTGACCCGAGTTTGCAGGTATCAGAGCCCTACTGTGTTGATATCCCATTTGCATTTCTCTTAATGTTTCCAGGACCTAAACAATTCAGTGGTTCATAGACCAGTAGCAGAACATGAAAATCTCTTCCACAACCGATTCAATGAGAAGTGAGTCCTCCTGAGTGGGAGAGGGAGAGGGGGACGGGGGAGAGAGAGAGAGAGAGAGAGAGAGAGAGAGAGAGAGAGAGAGAGAGAGAGAGAGAGAGAGAGAGAGAGAGAGAGAGCATGTTGATGTACATCTGTCATGCATTATTGCGGTGAATGCCAGCGTTTGCGATCCTGGCTTTCGAAAATATGTGAGGGAGGGGGCTCCTCAAATCACTTGGTCCTCCTCCTCTTCTTCTTTTCTCTGCTTTTGGCAGGTCCACAGACACACATGTATACACGGGCACACACACAAACACAGATCACTCAAATGCAGCCATGGCTTGTGGCAATGTAACAAGGCACCGATGGTCTCTTCAAACAAACTCTTCCGTCCAATCAAGCTGAACTCAGTGGAGGCCTTGCGGCCATCTGCCAAGAAGCCAGACCATACCTCGCTTGATTGCCCTCACGGATCCCCCAGAAACCCATCTGTGTGTCCGCCCGTCCGTCTGTCTGTCGCTCATAACTTTCGTCCTGTTGGTTTCCCAAGTCTCCTGATGAAACAATGGGAGCATTCACAAACAGTTTGCAAGACATTAAAATGCTCTGCTGCTGGGCCAGGAGGCCCAACAGCCTGTAAACACGCAATCAATGTCAATAAACTGGAACTTCAAACGTGGCTATTACCACTAAATAGTCCGTAATGTGACAAGAATACGTTTGGATTTAGTCAAACTATGGTCTTAATTCATTTTAATGAAGGCAGATTCCTATTTTTAATGCGGTTGTTATACATGACAAATGTAATGTTACTGTTTAAAAATCAAATTACCATGAGATAAAAGTCGTAATATTACAAAAGTAAAATTGTAACGGAAAAAAAGTTCAGCACTTTTGCAGTGCCGCTATTTTGCAGATTTTTTTTTTTTGTACAGTTAATAACTAATTTGGTCTAATTCTTCTGCATACTGATGTACTGAAATTTCACTTACAACTACTGGATTTGCGGCACACCGATTTAGTTTAGAGACGGTTTGAAAGAAGAGGAACAAAATCTGAAGTTCTGTAATTCATCACAGCCTAGTTTTTGTTGAAAATGATTGGATGCCATCCGCTGTAATCCTGCTTTTTAAAACTACAATTTAGCTAAACATTATTCCAACATTAATATCCGAAGCTAATGATGCTGACACAGTTAGCTAACATTGATTTTAGCTTACAACTGCAGCTGTGCTTACCCAGAGGCTTCGATAGCGGTTCGCCCCAAATTGTTTTTTTTTTTTTTTTTTTTTGGTCTGGATCTTTGGTGTGAGCTTAATGCCGAAACATAATCAGAAACTTCATTGGTGGGCAATCAGAAAGCATCTATGTGGCAATGTTATAATCCTTTAACTCACGGATATCGAACAGAAAATGCAGCAACCATAACACAGTACTCAAATATTCTTTAGTCTCTGTGAAGAATGACTAATACAAATGCTGTACTGAGGAGCTGAAAGAAGAGCTGAGACCGCCTCAATGAAGCTCAATTAATTGGATTGGAGCATTAAATCATCCTGCACAAGCGGCTTCATTTTATTTATATTCCATTCATGTTACTCTGTTTTTGTAAACGTCTAATATTTCAGGGGGCTATTTTTTTCCTCACTAAAACATATTTTCCAGGGGGCGGGGGGCTGGATCAGATAAATTTTTACATTTAATTATTTTTAACAATGAATAAAAGGCGAGGAAGTTGAAATGTGACTTTGACAGCAGAGTTAATAAAGTTTTTGTGATGGAGACAGTTTGACAGGGGACCTGATTTGCATTATGTGATGAGCGACAGCTGAAGTGTGAGCGGGTCGCTGGTGTATTCCTTGAACACATGCGTACATCGTGGCTGAACATGTGCAGTGTGATGAATGCTCAGACATGTGGTGAACATCCAGACCATCGCCGAGAGATGTCGGCAAATCTCTCAAGATTTATACTCGGAGAGCATTTCAAGTCTTAATGAGACGATATGAAAAAAAGATGTTTTTGAATGTTTGTAAACAAAAAGTTGGGTTTGGGGAGTGCCGGCCCACCGGTTCTGTGCGAAATAAGGCAACCAAGTTAATCCTGAATTAAAACACTGATCACAAAAAAATACATTTGGTGAGAAAGCATATATGAGGGCTCTCCAATTTTTTTTCTCTCTGTGAAATCTGCAAATAAATAAATAAATAAATATCCATAATTAAATTGAATGAAAGTTGATTAAATTTTGAAGGATAAAATATACACACCATAGATTCAATTGAATTAAAATATTTTTTATTTTAATTGTTATTTTCCTTTTCAAAGAAATGATTAATTATTCTCATTATTTAACCCTTTGAGGGACAGCAGTTACGACAGTGGACAGCTTGTCATGTTATCATGACAAGCAGGAAAAGCTAAAAATGTCAATCTTTATCCCTATCCTCTGGGTCAAAATAATCAACTCAGTCTTGGGTGAAAGTCAGTCAGCCTGCTCAAAATCCACAGTTACCTAGCGAGTGGGTTAGCAACAACAACCCAGCATTTTTTTTGTGTGCAGGACATCATAGATAATTGCCGTTTCTTTTTTTTTTCAACTACGGAACGGCATCCACATTTTTTGTCCAAATTTGGCGGTCATAACAGAACCAGTGTCTTGTTCAATTTATTTCACAAAACTAGACACATTACAGATATTTTCCCAAAACCGATTTTTGAAGCGCATTGTATCCAATGTCCTCGTAATTCCATCGTGGCCCAGCCAGATCACACACTACACTTCCCGGGCTCCCAGTCAAGATACATTTCCAAGGAACAAAAAGTGTGGGGGAAAAAATGGTGTGGGAGGGCCTCTTTCGGGCACAGCTCGGGAGCAGCTTTTGGGAATGCGCTGACTTCGCTTTACAAATCAAACAAAGAAATAATCCTTCAAGGCTTGCTTTGTGCTAACACCTGAATGGGGAAGACTAATGTGTGACTAACGTTTGACGAACAAGTTAATGCTGGCTTGTGCCTCGTGAGTCACGTGGTATTCCGGGTACTGCGATGGGCCTCAATGCACGAAGACCTTTGGCTGACCCCGCCCTCCAGAAGGGACTCTCTTGTTCCCGCTTGGCGTTCCCGCTCCGGGATCCAAGTCACCGTCCAGGAACTGCTGAAGGAATTTCATCATGAGCACACTGTCATTTGTATGCCGTCAGTGCCCATCTGCAGTTCCTTAGAATGCGATACTTCATTTTTATTGCAGGGGGAGGGAGTGGTCATTTTAGGTACTTGACGTACCAAGGGCAATTCTAGGGTAAGACGTTTAGGGCCGCAAAGTTCCCAATAAGGCAAGATTTAAATGTTTTGTCCATTTTAATTTAATTCCCACGCAGTTTGCTCATGGGCTTTCAATTAGTCAGCTTGTAATTAGCACCTTGGGTTTAATATTAACAATACACAGGACATAACAGCTAGCTTCTCCCATTCCAATGTAAACCACCAATCTATTATGACCACAAATTATTTTTCACATTTTAGATTTTTTTAAAAGGGCAATTTAACAATACAACAAGTAGGGATAGGCGAGTATTGATACCAGGTATCGGTATCGGGCAGCCTTATTTTTAATCTATCGGATCTTGTGGAGTCTGCCGAAACCAGCCAGCGATAACTCCAGGATTTTTTTGTCTACCGGGGCTACAGGGAGGCTTGACCGATATATAAGCTACACAGATCTCCGACGGACGGGGTAGTAGCCCTTCTTAGCTCTGTTATGATGCCATCCCTGCCTAAAACGAAAAAAAAAAAAAAAAACCATTGATATCAAGTACTCTTATCCGATAGTATCCTCCATACTATGGTAATTTTACAATTGGGCGAATCATCATTTGCATCAGAAAGAAAGCTCTCTGGTCACAATTATTTCTCATGCTGTTCAATGAAATTCAATGAAAATGAAAAATACTCATGGTACAGAATCAGTACACCGTATAATTGGGTGGTCAGGAGGGAATACTTGTGCAAGTATTGCTCTGAAACAAAAAGTGGTGCTAAACACCCCTAATAACAAGAACACCGTATCATCATTGTTTAAAAATTAGTTGAATTGTATTGGAATTGCGCTATTATATGATTATTACTATTAGTCATGCTTCATATAAAAAATGTTTACATTCACATTATTCACCTTTTGACCAATTACGATGGCGCGTAAAACTGCACGTAGGTGTCCCAAATATTCTGACTGACTGATCACATCCCGACATAGTGACGTCTGTGTTTTTTCTTTCGTTGCAACTGAAGCTTATCCCCGGTGGGAATGTTTGAGGTGAAAGTCGGGATGAGGTGGACGGAAGGGAGGAAAAGGGGGAATGAGACAAGAAGAGGAGGAGGAGGAAGAAGAGGAGGAGGCGGGGCTTTAAAGTATGAACTTGTGTATGATTTAAGCCGCAGGAGGAGGAAGAAGTAACAAGAAGACGAACGGACGAGCAAGCGGGACGTCTTTCCTAGCCGCCCTTCACGTGTTTTTTCTTCCTCCCCTTAAATCCACATTTTGCGTGCAAAGCGAAGTTGCGCACGTAAAAAAAAAAAAAAAAAAAAGCGCCGAGCGAAGACGCGCACCAAACCAAAAAGGAGAAAGCAAGCAGAAGGAGGCACAAGAGTGGTTATGGATACGTGCTCGCGGATTCTCCTGCTGCTCCTGCTGCTGCACTCCGCTGCCGTCTTGTCCCTGTCCACACGTAAGTCGAGTCACACATGCGCAATGGGCCTTTTTTCTTTTTGTCTTCAAAACTGCGCGGTGGTTTTCCGCGTGCATGTTAATGCCGAGTTAAATAGAAGATCATCAAAGCGACTCCAAGGGGCCTCACCATGAGAGTAGCACCCCCCGAATCTTCGACTTTGGCATCCCTTGGGGACATTATGTATCTTTCCGGACCTTTAGTGGACCTTACGTTCATGTCCCCCCACAATAGGCCCATGATGGACTCCCGCTGTACAGTACCACCCATTTGGGGGTGCAGAGGTAAATTGTGACTTGGGATGGGAGAGTATCAACACCATATTGGGTCAAGGTATCGTTGCCTCATGAAGGCTGCCGATACCAGCCACCAATACTCAAAGCAAGAGTAAGTCCTCCTCAGCAGTAGTTGGCGCTATACAATTTTTGACACATCGGCAAATCATCTGCGTGAGAAGGAAAGGCCTTTTGTCATTGTTTTACGGGAAATTTTAAACTTTGTATCAGTTCTGTGAATATATAAGTACTCAATACTCATACTGGTATCAGTCTAAAAAAAAATGTGGTCTTGAAAATCTCTCATTCTCTCAAATATTCCGGCCCGACAATCCTTGGGGACATGTATGTATCTTTTTGGATCTTTTGCTCTGTCAAAATTACTGTGAGCGATTTTGAACAATAATCGTGATTTTATTTTTCTGCTTAATATAGTGATTGTAATTTAACATAAGATCATTTTTCCAAGGTTATTTTCATATGTATTTTTTAACAAACAAATCAGTGCAAAAAAAAATCTAAAAAGGTTACTTGCATCTCTGATTTAAAAAAAAAAAAATTGACCCGCACCTGCAGGCCTGATCCTTATGCCCCAACGAATAGTGGGTGTCCATTGTACTTTAAATGGTGGCAAGTGTGTGCAAAAAAAAAAAAAATTGACCCGCACCTGCAGGCCTGTCCATTGTACTTTAAATGGTGGCAAGTGTGTGGTGGCTCCCGATATCACGATTTAATCTGCGCTTGGGAAATTCTGAACACAGCCACATCCTCACTTCTAAGAGGGTGTGTGCACTTATGCAACTACATGATCTGAGTTGTTTATTTGTATTTTGCCTCTCCAAAAGATGTTTTTTTCCCCCATCTAAAGAGTAATACAGGTTAAAGGTCACATTAATGGAGGTTCAAGTTTTTCAAGGATTTATTTTCGGATCATTTTTTTTATACCACAAAAACCTGCCATTTGAACGAAAGTGGAGACTTTTTTTTTTCTTTTTACAGCTACTGTAAGTGCGCACTTGCCTCTTGTATTCAATGAAGACACCCACCAAATACTGCCTGTGTGAAGTATATTTATGCGGAGCAACTGCACGGCTGACTTTCAACAAGTCCGCAGCCTGTAATTCCTTTCGCACATGGGGGGTTTTGGTGGGGGGGATCAAAACAGTGACATCATTAGCTCTGGTCTCCGAGAGTGTTCACGACAGTAAGGCAAATAAATCAACCTGATGTGCGTTTCCTGACTTAAGTGGCTGGATGAGTTTTTTTTTTTTCGGGGGGTGTGGGGGGGGGGGAGCAGCACTAAGGCTTTAAAGACCGCTCTAAAAAGAAGAAGAGGGAACACATTAGGCTCCCCATCATCAAACGCTTCCTGTTGTTTATGACAAGGGGGCTAATTTCTCGTTACTGTCGTATGCCCGCGCGGCCCTTCATGAATGATTGTAACCTTTTCCCGTGCTTGACAATTAAAGAGGAACTTCTTTTGGTTGTTGTAGGCGATAAAAACTAAAGCGCAATTATAGTTTACTGGGTCTCTGGTTCTCTGCAAATGTTCAAACTTTTCGGTGTCCTGTCGGCCTTGGATTACAAAAAAAATAAGAAATTTGGATAATGTAAGATAATGTTGAGTGGCTGTCTCACTAAAGCATACAATTCTGACATCTGATTTTTTTAAATATAACAAGTTGGATGCAGTGCAAACCATTGCTGCCCAATGTAAAGAATCTATCTGCATTTCAAACATAAAAGCAAACAAACCAACCCCCCAAAAAAGTGACACCCACATGCACAGGCAGGAAATGTCCAATCGGAGTTCAATCCCAGTCACTAAGCTTCCACTATTTACCCCCCACCCCCCACCCCCAGATGTGGCATTGGTGTACCCCCAGGACCCCGTCCTCCGCGTGGGCTCCAACCTGACGGCCAGTTGCTGGGTGCCACCGGACGCCGGCGTCCACGCCAGTTCGCTGTACTGGACGCTCAACGGCCAGCGGCTGCCCGCCTCCACGTACCGAACGCTGAGCCCCAGCAACCTCAGCGTGACGCTCAGCGGCCTCAACGCCTCGCGGCAGACGTCCGGCGATAATCTGGTGTGCCACAACCACAAGGGTCACATCCTGGCCGGCTCTTGCATCTATGTCGGAAGTATGTAAAAGCGCTGAACGGGTCTGATTTGATTTTGAAAAATCATCCACTGATTCATTTTTTACAAAAGTGTAAAAATATTTGGCTGCCAAATACGTACTTATTGGGGGAGGGGGGGTTGTAGCATTTAAGCTACAAGTTCACTCGAATGTACTCGCAAGTATGTTCAGACATATTTGCAAATATGTTCAAATGCATTTGCCTGTCAAATTTCTTTATTTATACTTTTTTTTTTTGGGTCCAAAAATGTTTGCGTTTTTGTAATAGAGCGAGGGGACTGTAAAGGAAGTGGGAATATCAATGAGGAAGCAGTGGGTAGTTTTTTTTAGGGGTCTCTACGCACACTCGTGGCCGTAATTTAAGATTTAGTGCGAGGGCCTCCGCCAGTGTGTGTGTGTGTGTGTGTCGCTTTGAATGCCTGTGTGGTCCAATACTCGCACGATCACTCACGGGGCATCAAGCTAACATTTTGTGCGCGTGCACACGCGCACACACCATCGTCATAATCGCAGTCAACATGTTTTACGGCGCTCCTGTCAATATGAGGGAAAACCAAGCCTTAAATTCCTGCTCTGCTCAAAAATGCGCTTTTGCCTCCTCCGTTGGCTCTTTGACTGCCATTGTGCAAAATGATGTTCAACTGTTTTGACACCCAGAAGCCCCCCGAACTCATTTAAATCGACTTTATAGATTTTTTTTTTTCCCCCAGTGACTCAATTTTTTCATTTGTATTGTGCGAGGGGGCGAGTGTCACCAATAACCGGCGAGTTCGCATCGTGACACGTCTGCTGTTTGCAGGGCCGCAGCTATTGAATATTTGAGTATCCCACTGAAATACTGAATAGTATCGAATAATCGAGTATACGGAGAAAATGTATTTTGTTTGGGAGCAACTGAATACATAAGCGAAAACAAGACATTTCATTTAATACCGATCACTTTTTTATTTTTTTTTGAGTTACTCAATTACTCGAGGGCTCGTTTCACCCCCAATTGTGCGTGAATAAGATCTTTTATTGACTCTGTCGATTATTCCGGCTGTTTGTGTTACTGTATTTCTGTTCAAGGTGGAGTCTCTCATCAATAAATAACCCCCACACCCAAAAAAAAAAAAACACTGTGTAACTAAACCCATCAGATGAAAACGATGTGCACGCAGCATGGATCGTAATCTCTGTGTCCGGTAACGGTGTTCAGAACCTTGTGTTCTCAGAGATTGAGGGGGTGGGTGCTGGCAGGGCTCTGAAATCTGATTACACTCGCTTGAGCACAAGCACACACACACACACACACAGACACGCTCACCAAATAAAGGCAAAAGGACCTTTAAAAAAATCCCACCAAAGTAATAGCATCCACGAGTCCTTTCTTACGTTTTTTTCCCCCCTTCCCTCAGTGCCTCCGGAGAAGCCTCTCAATTTGACGTGCTGGTCTCGGAACACCAAAGACCTGACGTGCAGCTGGGCGCCGGGAGGGAAGGGGGAGACCAGCATTAGCACCCAGTACTTGCTCAAGTACAAGCTCAGGTGTGTGCACGCGACCAAAAAAAAAAAAAAAATCTTGATTTCAATATCATTCTTACTAATTGTAATGATTAGTTTTTCCACAATCGCTCAGCAACACATAATAGGCTAAAACGCTCGCAAAGTAAGTCGCGCGGGTAGATTCCGAGATACGAGGCGATAATGGTTCATTGGGTCAAACTTTTTAAGAGAATTCCACTTTGTGTATTTAAAACAAGCAAACCACACTGCCTTTAAAAAAAAGCAGTTAGATTTTAGGGCTTGCTTGCCAACAGAATGGAAAATGCTAACGCTATCATCGCTATTCGCAGTTTTAGAAGCAACAGATATTTGAACGCAGGCGAGTGACACGTATCTGTATGCCTGTACTCCATCATTCTAATCGAGACAAACATAAATTCCCTTCGGAAAATGGAACTTTTACCTGTCCTTTGTCATTAACGTAAGGAAAATCTTTCCCCGAAAGACCCTCCGTTTGCGCGTCAACAGCACTTACGAGCTTTAAACAATATAACGAAGCGATTTAAAAGCCATGGAGGAAGTCATTGTATGGTGCAGCGCCCTGAGGGATCCATTTCTCGATATTTACGGCACGAGTAAACAAAGGGGCTCATAAAAAAAAAAAATAAAAAAAAAAAGCATCCAAGTCATGGCTGTTACTATGCCCTGCAGGTGGTACGGAAAGGAGAAGGAGTGCGAGGAGTACACTCACATTCAGCCATACTCATGCAGCATCACTCGCGACCTGCACCTCTTCACCCCCTACGAGATTTGGGTGGAGGCCTCCAATCAGCTGGGCCGCGCCTCCTCCGACGTTATCATGTTGGACATTCTCGACGTGGGTGAGTGTGGACGTGAAGACAAACTCTGTCTGATCTCCTCCTGGAGCCGCTTTGAGGGGTGTCGGCCATGCCCCGGGCTAGAAAAAACAGGACAATGGTTTCAAATGATCCAAACGCTTGTGAACACCCCTACATCCTAAAAACAATGTGTGTGTATGTGTGTGTGTGTTGAATCTAGTTTAGTCCAAAAGTCTTCACTTTTCTTTCTTTATTATTTTTAGATTGGAAATGAGCACTCTGTTTTTTGTTTTGTTTTGTTTTCTTAATACATCTAATTTAAAAAGTGAAACGCAAAAACAGTCGTCACCAAAACACTGCGGCTAAGTAATCTCATTTGGGCATGTATTATTAACCGTGAAATTGGATAATTTGGTGAAATGTGCCATTTTGCAATCATAAAATAATGTGTAGCATCTGGAACGGCAGCAAGATTCCTGGAGTTTTCCAACATGTTGAATGTATTATGCTATTGAAATGATTCAAGTTTTATTCATTTATTTGGAGGGTGCGGGGCTTTTAATTGCGTCATCTTTAGCCAATCTGTGCTAACGGATTGGCTAATGATGATGCAATTGGCATCAGTGAGCCAATCTGTGCGAACAGATTGGCTAACAACACGAGCCAATATTTGTTTGGGACCATTTTTGTTCAGTTGACTGAAAGTAAGATAAATGAAGGCTACATTTCATACCATATTGAAGTTTAGGTGTAGCAACTTGATTACATTTTTTCTCCAATGAGGATATAAGCGGTTAGATTATGTGTTTATCTTAAACCAATCGATGCTAGCAAGCGATCCCCTCACTCTTTAATTTAGTCGGTTCACAGCTTAATAGCTTACCAAAAACATTCTTATCAAACACATGTAGTTCAAATGTTATTTTGTGCATTTATTATTAATTTACTTTATCTTACATTAGCGTAAACATCAGAAAAAACTTGACCTTTTTGTACGATTTCTATGCCAACCAAGAGTACAATTCAAGGAAAATGTTCGGTTCTTTGAAAATGCAGCCCTCAAGGACCGTTTCACTGAGCAACATGAAATTTTGTAGGCACATCCATCAAGTTGAGTAGAACTACAGAAATGTCTCGAGAAGCCGTCCCTGAAAAGACACACGGAGTCAGCCAATTTGGTTTGCAGTCACCGTTTTTTTTTGGCTCATTTGCACGCAACTTGATTTTTAACAATCGTTTGATTAAGACCACATGGCCAGTTCTTCTTCTCTAGACTCACAATGAAGAAGTATGAAGCCTGAAAAGATCACAAGTTGACCTGCAAAAAAAAAAAAAAAAAAAAAAAAAAATCTCATGAGGCTCCACCTAAAAAGATACAGGATGTCAGCAAATTTGGTTTGAAGTGACTATTTTACGGTACTTTGGAAGAAATTCAGGCCCTAAGTCAGTTTCAATTCGTAAAACGAAATTCAATAGGCTGGTCGATCATGATTAGACCCACAAAAAAAAGTCTGAAGAAGCCATGTCTTAAAAAGATACGAGTCAGCAAATTTGGTTTGAAATGACCATTTTTGGCTCATTTGGAAGAAATCCAGAAGCAACACAAAATTTGGTAGCCTTCTCCATTATGACTAAACCCACAAAAATGTCTCTTGAAGCCATTGCTTAAATTAACACCAGTAGTGTGAACTGGCCATTGTCAGGGATACGTCAAAGAAAAAAACCTAACCAGAACTTTTATGGCCATACATAGGAATTTTGCGTGTAGTAAAATATGCATCAAGGAAGAATAACAGTGGACCTGTCTACATTGCTCCTTTTTAATCCAGGATTCCCGGGGCACTTAAGCTCTTTCAAGCTTTCATCAGAGGCCTCGCAGATGATAGGAAGGGAGCGATGTTACCTTTTAAAGCATTGTTCTGCACACTGCCGGCCGGCGCAACTTCGGGAGACCACCATCTCGGGGTTGAAAACAAGCACCCACCCATCCTACAACCCTTTTCACACACCTGTGTGCACCCCACCTGCACTCCCCGAGGCGAGGGTGGCGTCATGATGAGCGTGTAGAAAACGCAAAGCCGCTTTTTTTTTTCCCCCACCACTTTTGTGTTTTTGTGTGCTTTGTTTATTTTCGGTTGCCCCGGTCGCTGGTTTGGTTTCTCGTCAAAACACGCAATACAGCGTCACAGCTATGAGTCACGCTTTTCCACGGGCGGGAACACCCGCATAGCAGATTTCCGCATTCCGCAGTCGGGGGTGGGGGGTGGCGATGAGTTAGACCTGACTCGAGTGGTCGTCTACGCAATCCAACGCTTCCCCACTTCACGTTGCCAATATATTCTTTAAACTTTTGGGTCAAAAGTCACCCGTATTGGGTTGAATACTGTAGCTAACCGATCTCAAGATCCAAAAGGGACGGAGCCCATTCGGTGTTAATTATACCCAGCGCAAGACAAACTTGTTCTTTAAGACATTTGTTTCCCAGATTTGAAGCAAAGTCACTCGACCGACCAACAGATGGCACTAGATTCGGAAATTTGAATTTTCGTTATTTCCGCTTGGCGGATTATTATAGCAAAAACATGTGAGAATGATTGACGCACCGCTTCAAAAAACAGTTTGGTGTTTGTAATTGCTTGTAGATGAGAGCAGCGAAGCGCTGACGTGACTGAAAAGGTGACTGATAGCCCGTTCAGATTGATTTCGTTGCTGTGGTCTGTAACACAGACGAAGAATAATCAGCAGAGCATCGACACCATGCATCTAGCATGTACACAATCCCGAACCGATGTGACCCAAACGACTATCATCAATTGTTCGGTTTATTCAACACAAGCAAACCACCTTCGCCTGAGACTCATCGATAGCATTAGCGAGCGTACTTGCCGAAACAACTAGCACAAATGGATGTGACTTCACACATGGACAAATATGCGCAGTGGGGCACAAAAAAAGCAAATAACGGTGGATAGGTTTTCATTTGTCACCCCCCGCCCCCCACCTAAAAAAAAAAACCCAAACCTCAATGCTGAACCACGAACGTTCTTGCATCGACGCAAGTAGATTGCGGTTGTCTAATTCGCTTTTGGCTTCAGTCGTTTTAGTTCCCACTTGCTTAATATTTTTGCTGTCTTAAATCCAAAAGCCAAATCCACTGACATATTTTGCGTCAACTTCCATTAAGACTTTCACATCAAAACCACCACCACCACCCCCGTAGCTCGTATTGTTTGTTTAACAGCCACGGCTGACAAGACTAACAACTGGGAATGACAGTGACGCGATCTCGGGCAAAACCCAAAACCAACGTTGGGGGAGGTTCAAATATCGGTCTCTGGCTGTGCTCACTTGTCAAAAAAAAAAAAAAAAACCCAAGCAAAAACCACAGAGATGTGGAAACCAGTGTTTTGCGTATAGAGACATCAAGGCCGGCACTTGGAATTGACTTGATTTCTCCGGCCGCCAACATAAACGTCGCGGCGAGAGAGAAGCTATTATCGGTCTGGCTTGATGCGGACCATCTGTGCCCTGACAACAGAACATCAGCACCTTCGTGTAAGGAAGACGTCAACGTGTTAATTACCGTAATTCATCCACAAACGACCGTAGCGGCTACATTTTTTCGGAATGACTTTTTTTCGGAAACGCTTTTGATGTAAACAGCGGCTCAAATTTTGAGGAAAAATTTGTAGTAGCGAACACCGTTGAGAGCCGGCCTATTTTCTTGTCTGTTTGTTTTGAATGTCTACAAAGCTAACAAGCGGGGGTAATTTTCTTTGGCGGTGCCCAAAATGAGGCGAAAATTCGGGTTAATATTAAATCGAAGGTCCGACGAGATGTTGATGTTTCTCTGTCTTGAAGTATAAATCACGCGATTCGCGATTTTGTTGATCTATGGTCTTACATTTGAATTTACATTGCGAATACAATTGTTGGAAGGTATAAAATAGATTTTTTTGGGGAGAAAATATTTGTGACCGGGGGGGTCACAAAATTAAGTAAATTTCTATAAAAATTAAAATTCTTGTTTGATGAGCAATTTTTTTCTCAGAGTTTCTGTCAATAATTGTGGAATTTTCCGAGAAATTGTTTCGAAACTTAGTTCAGAAAACCAATCGCAAATGTGCAGTAAGGTATTCGTAATGAGGACAAAATATTTTTCACAAAACTTCGCTAGCAATTTTATGAGGAAAAAAAAAGTAGAAAACATTTTTCTTGCTTTCGTTGGAATAATTGTGCAACGTTATGAGAATTTTTTTTCAGTAGAAATAATGCACACATTTGATGATAAAAAGAAAAATCACGAGTTCACAAATGTACAGAAAGATTTGACCAATCCTAACTTTATTTTTTAAACTTTTTTTTTTTTTTACTGTGAGGAAAGAAATTCATTTTCTATGTAGAAAATGCAATTTTATGAGTTTATATTTACAATTTTCTTTATTTTTTTGGGTGTGGGGGGAATGCAATTGTAATGAAAAAACAAGAATTTTACAAAAACACAATAGCGATTTTACAACACCAAATAATCACTCCGTTTCCTGTGAGAAGGTGCAATTCAAAGTCGTCGTGATAAAATACGGGCAATTCTACGGAACAATTATGATTTCATGATTAAAAGGTTTGCGTTTTTATGAGAAGAAATTGAATGAAGTGCTTTTAAAATGACTTTTAGAATTAGAAAGCGGCTTGGAATGTTCTACCTTGTTTTTAATGGTCCTTTGACAATTGAGAGTATCTCACGTGATAACGTTGACGTCTTGGATCTTGTGGTCTTCCCCTTCCAGTGACCACGGACCCTCCGTCAGGGGTGACGGTGAGTCGCGTGGGGCAGTTGGAGGACCAGCTGAGCGTTCGCTGGGAGGCCCCGCCGGCACTCAAGGACTTCCTGTTCCAGGCCAAGTACCAAATCCGTTACCGTCTGGAGGACAGCCAAGACTGGAAGGTAAAACGCAGGGACAGAACATGGCTGCTCGCGTACACGGCCCAAAAACCTGAAGCACTACAATTCTTGGTCCACATGGACTCAGAAGTATGATGAAGTCATGCTCACATTGACACACTGCTGCCAGATTTCATCTGTAGTTATTATGGTTATTGCTGTGAGGGCCTTTTTATTAGCTGTCCTGTTAAAATACTTCTTGAATGAAAAGCACCGCCATAAAACGGATCACATTCATTCATTCTTCTTATCTCGCCATCTTCCGGATTTACCTCCGCTCAACTCTCGAATGAATGAACAATACGACGTAAACGCTCGGCCCTACGGAGCGATTAGTGGTGAGGTAATCGAAGCGGCTTCACGCGCACGTCACTCAAGCAAGCCTTTGCTTGTTGAGTGGAAAAAGAAGGTGAGGCCGGCGAGGGCCAGACCCGAGACACGGCATTTTCCCCGGGCGAGTGAAACGCAGGGGCTAATGGCTTCAGCGTGGCTATGCTGTTTGGTTGCGACAAGATTACTCATGCTTGTTTGTTCATTGTCGTTTAATAGGCCTGGCACATGTCTGTAAGAATCTTTGCACGCTCGTGTGTGTGTGTGTGTGTCCAAATGTGCGACAAGAGAGTGTGTTGAGAGAGAGAGCGAGACAGACCCTATATGTGTGTGTGTGTCTGTGAGAGAGAGAGAGACACCCTGTCTGTGCGTATGTGTGAGAGAAGTTGAGTCTGTGTGGATGTGTGTTTGTAAGGATTTGAGAGCCCGAGAAAGAGACAGACACACACAAGTTGAGTCTGTGTATGTGTATTTGTAAGTATGAGAGAGTACAGGTGTACAGAAGAGAGACAGTGAGAATGAGAGAGAGAGAACGGGTATGTGAGAGAGAGTGGGTGAGAGAAAGAGAAAACAGGTGCACAGATGAGGGAGTGGAATGTGTGTGTCAGAGAGAGAGAGAGAGAGAGAGAGAGAGAAAGAGAGAGAGAGAGAGAGAGAGTGTACGGGAGAGGGAGACACAACAGGTCTACAGTTAAGAGTGGGTATGTGGGAGAACCAAACAGAGATAGGGACAGAGTCTGTGTGTTATGCTTTTGTGTGTGTGAGTGGACATACTTGTGTGAGAGTGTGTTTTTGTGTATTACTATGAGTGTGTTTATGAGAGAGAGAATGTGTGTGAGAGGGAGCGCCTGTGTGTTTACTGTGCTTCTGTGTGTGTGTGCGTGTGTGTGAGAGAGTGAGAGAGAGCAAATGTGAGTGCGTGGGAGAGAGCGTGTGTGCGTGTTCAAGTGTTGGTGGTTAATAGACAGCAGATCGCTTTAAAATGTTTCCATAAACACGCCGCTCATTGCGGCATTCAAACATATTTGCGGCGGGAAGCCCGAGTGAAGCTTTGCGTGTTTGTTTTGCCTTCAGTGCAGGTTCTTAATACGAGTCTTTGTTCTCCGCTGACTTCTTCTCTGGCCCTTTGGCTCACTTTCCAGGTGATGGATGACGTCGGCAACCAGACGTCTTGCAGGCTGGCGGGACTCAGACCTGGAACTGTGTATTTTGTGCAGGTGTGTTGTTTTTTGTCATCATCGTTACAATTCAAGGCTCAAAAGATGTATATTTTTTCCTTTGAGGAGCAGTTCTGCAAATCAATGACTTCATTTGAGGAGCAAGGTTCTAATTTTGAGGAGCATTTTTTTTTCGTAGGTTAATCAAGGGTTTTGTGAAAAAGTAAAAAGATGACGCTATAACCCATGAACAATTGGTTTCTTTGTTTTAGATATAAATGCCATATTTATTTCTTAAATTCACATTGAGAATAGCAACAAACTGTAGTTTTTCGTGGAGAAACATTGCAAAATAACAGTTGTATGAAGTAATGAGCCGATATTAGATTCTGGCGGTACGATAACTGTGAGCAAAATATATTGCGCTTGACTGCCATGCCTACGTGGCGACCATGCTGGCAGGGGCGAAGTTCCCATCAAAGGCAATACATGGACATTGAAATTAAGTCACAACTTGTTCGTTTCTGATTGTCATGGGGTTTCCTTTTTTGTCAACGCCAAAGTCTGTGCTAATGTATACCTTTTTTTTGGGGGGGTCTAATATTTTTACCTTTGAAAGGTTCCTCCCCGTTCAATTTTGTCACTGTTATGGCGTTGAATGCCGTTATACCATTGGAAGGCTGATGTCATTCTCTTTTTTGATTAAACCAAAACTTTTTTTCCTGAAATTGGGGTCACCTGGACATATTTTGCAAAGTGTCACATATGTAACATTTTAAGCAACTCATATTACGAACAGTATATTTGTACTGTATGGCCTCGTAGCGAGTGTCCGTCTTTCGATCTCTGACTGCCCCCTAGTGGCAAAAGAGGGCAGCAGCAGAGTGGGTATTCAATTGACGTGAAGCGTGAGAAAACCTGTTTTAATTCTTTTTGATTGTGTATTATTTTTCAGAAAGCGTGCTATTCCCCCCATAAAAAAAATAACATACCCAATTTTTGTGTGTAAAAGATGAATGTCTATTTTCATTCATTTCAATGGGAAAAGAGGAATTGAGATACAATTGATTTGCGTGGTTGAATTAAACTCTCATATCAAGGCACCGCTGTCCTTCTTATTTTATTCTATCTGTCATTTTGTTCATCGGCAGGTCCGCTGTAACCCGGTGGGCATCTACGGTTCCCGCAAAGCTGGAATCTGGAGTGAGTGGAGTCATCCCACTGCTGCGTCCACACCACACAGTGGTGAGTGCACAAGGGCCTGTTCCTTTTCATTCATTGTCATTTTATAAATAATTATTCTATAAGTTTCACGGGTTTTGTGTTCGGTTGAAACTGATTCAGATATTTGGCAGAATAAATTTCAGTTCTGTTAATCAGCCAATTAATTTAAAAAATATATACCCTTTATTATATAAATACATGAAATACATTTGACTGTTTTAAAATACTTTGTCCTGTAGTATTTGTTTATCTTTCATTTCCAGTCTTTTTTTTTTTTTGGCACGCAGAGCGGGCGGCGTCAGGCTCGTGCGACCCCAAGTCGAGCGGCGACTCCAACTCGACGCTGCGCCGCGAGCTGAAGCAGTTCTTCGGCTGGGCGCGCAAACACGCCTACGGCTGCAGCAGCATGTCCATGAAGCTCTACGACCAGTGGCGGGTGCTCATGCAGAAGTCGCACAAAGCACGCAACCAGGTAGGTAAGCATCACCTCACTGCACACACGCATGAACACGCACGGTGGCGCACAATGAGTAACAGATCTCGTCTTGTTCATTTAGGTTCTCCAAGGGGATAAATCATAGCACATGCGCAGTGGAAAAACAACACAGAGCGATTGGAATGACTGCCAGAGGATGGTCATAAAAATTAGAAAGACTGGTTTTTCCTGTTTTTTTTGCGGCAAGATGACATCTGGAGATGTTGCTTTTTTACCACCCGTTAAAAGGCTCTTTTGGCAACCAGCACATTTTTGACACACAGACAAAAAAACCTTTCCGGTTCGGCATATGTGAATTTGAATTTTGGCAGATTTTTTTGTGGGGTGGGCGCAAATCTCTTCTCTGCTATTAACTGTTTGTGCCCAACCCAAAGCGATGTCTAATACAAAACAAATTACTTTGCACGGCAAGGAACATGGGTGCATACGCCCAATTCCCGGCCATAAAAAGACACCAGATACAGGTCACATATGCGTATTGTTTTACAACAACATCTAACCATATTTACAAATTCATACGTTCCAGTGGGTGAAATAGTGAAGCGTATGGTGAAAACTTAAGCAAGCGCCGTGCACCACTTGATGGGTCCATTCACATGATTGAGAGGTCTCCAAAAGAAGACTGCTGCCTCTTGGCCAGGTCATCACCATTGTCAATGAGCAATGGTTCTTAACTGACCTACGTGCCTCAAGAAAGTTTAAATGAAAAAAGTAGGACGGTGGGACGCATGCCGTGGAACCTTCTGGAGTCGTGGCCGCAATGAAGACATCCTCCAATCTCGCGCCAGTAGGTGACGACGACGAGCCGCCGATGGCAGCAACTCGGAGAGTCTATTCGAGTAAATAGACCTGATGACTTATGAAAATGTTGACCTCAAGCCTCACTATTTTGTCCATTGGTAAATGTGAAATTTGAAATATGGTTAAGTGTCGTTGTAAAACACACCATATGTTCTGTATTTTTCTTTATTACTTTTATACCTTGACACAATCCCACCTTCGGACAATTTAGAGTGTTCCATTAACCTGCCACGAATGTTTTGGGAATGTGGGAGGAAACCAGAGTACCCAGAGAAAACCCACATAGGCACGAGGAGAACTCTACACAGGAAGGCCGTACCCAGAATCGAACGCTGGACCTCTGCACTTTGAGGCCAGTGTGCGAACCAGTCGCCCACCGTGCCGCCCCAAAATTACTACACAAATTTAATTTGTACTTGTGTCCTATTTTTTTGGGTAGGCAGTTTTGGGCGTTTCATAAAACGCACTGGAAGTGCAAATAGGTAGGAATAGCTGAGATTGCACCCCCACCCCCTTCTACTAGCGTGGGGGGGGGGGGTGAATTGATGAATAGTTAACTGCGAATATGCGGTGAATTACTGTTCACCGCATGGTCCAAATACCCAATTCGGTGTATGACAATTTTTTTTTTTTTTTGTATCGCCTATGCTGTTGCTGTAGTTTAGATTTACAGTGAGTGAATGAGTGTATTTGGATGATGTTAAGTTTATTATAACAAAGTATGTGTGTGTATCCACATTTGAAAGAAATGTGCCTGATTCGGTTTTGAAAATATCAAATCAACGCATCCCTCATCATTATCATGCAGTGTTTCTAATAAGTGCGTTAAAAAGTGCCAAAGGGTTTATGTTTGTTTGTTTTTAAACCTGTCATCTCTTGCCTTGCCTTTATTTTTGTACTGAATCATATCAGCATATTTAAGAGTGTGTAAAGTTAATGCGTTTTATTGTTTAAGTTATGTTGTAGCCAATGAATAAATAATGACTGACTGAATTTAGCATTGATTGATTGCTGTGTGTTTGTGTTAGCGGCGTTGTTCTCCAGAAAATTAATGTGGCTTATGCACAGCAAATAGCTCATCACGAGTTCAGTCAAACTGAAATATTTATGATTAACAATCCAAATTTAAATAAGAAACATTAAAAAAAAAATTGAAAGGGAAAAGTAGTAAAAACACACAACAAAAACCCGTAAAAACAAATGAGGGATTAGTCTCAATAATAGTGGTTATTAATATGTGACAAAGTTTACCTGTTAGCATTTTTCTGTTGTGCCGAACGTTAGCATAAATGCTGAAGGCACCACTGTAATATGTGGAATGTTTTGAGGTTTGTTTAGCATCATGAGTGTCGCGTCAAAGCCTGCAACACAAGATAAGTTGAGTTTAAATGTTTAATAGCGCGTGCACTGAGACGCTGTTAGTTACACAACATAATACAAAACTACAAAGCAGCACCCAAAGGCTACGCAACTGCGCCATGCAGGACATCATCATGGTTTTCACAATTCCAAATGTGATTCGACGCGCCGTTGCACAATTCTTTGAAAAGTCAAACATATGCTTAAATTGTAACTTTCAAAGACTTGGAGGTGGACAATAGCTTAGGTTATGTCATACCCATGCTGGTGAATAATTCAGCAATGGGCAGATGGAGGCTATAAAAGCAAGTTTCCCAAAGCAGAAGAAGAAGAAGTAGTGGTCAGATGGAGGAGGTGGCGAAGACACGGCCCCTAATCTCTGCCAAAGAGAGAGGTCAGTACATATGGACATACGAGTGACTCGACATGAGCTCAGCGTTTCAGTCTGCTAGCTTAATGTTAATGCTAAATAGCATTATGTTGCATGACCATCAAAAAATGTGCAGCAAAGTAAGCAGATATAACAGTTATCACAGTCATGTGTTTTATCCTCTGCGAAGAGCGACAAAAATTAATGCTGTACTAATGAGCTGAGAGAGGAGTTGAGACATCCAAATGAACAATACTGTATATCTGTGTGTGTCGATTATACTGCCCCGGTTGGCACTTGGAGCTTCTCTAAACTTGTGAATGTGCATGTCCAGTTTTTTTCCACAACTTTCTGTTTAATATTAGCTAACTAACACTTTGTGAATTGGATACACGTGTATGAGTTATAAGTTGATGAACATCATCTCGATCAGGACCGGGCCCAGGACGCTACGCTCTGCCGCCAACAGTGGGCTACATCAATCATGACGTCACCAAGCCCAGCAGCCCCGCTTATTCCTTCAGCACCCGCATGAGCAGTGCCAGTGAGTTCGATAAAAAGTACCAACACGCACATGTGTAGGGGGGGGTCTGACGTTTGTACGACGTTTAATGCTACTCTCAGTTGAAGTTTACTGTCAGACTAAACATAAAACAATTACAGGCTGTGTATTTACAAGAGAACACGGCTTTCCCTTAGCTGGATGCTAACAAGCTACATGAGACAGATCTGCCATTTTTATCCTTTGTGTTTTGATGGAAGCATATCCAACATGTTCTTAAGATACACGGGGAATTTTTAATTTTTTTGGGGGGATGAATTACAAGACACTGTAAGAAACGTAGGGTAGCACGGCAGCTTTTGACACGGAATCAACTTTTTGTTAATTTTGTCAAGAGGACACCTTTTGAACTCTGAACGAGAAGATTTCACAAAGCTGGGCGAAGTCTCTGAACACCATTTATAAAAATTAAAAAAAAAATACTTCTCGCGTTTGCTCCTCCCCCGCTCCCACATCCACCTCGCAGGTGAGGAGGGACTGTGCTGACATGGCAGCCTCCGCTTCCATGCCAAATCGCACACCCTCGAGAGCGGCAGCTATTTTGGGGATCACTTTCCCCTCCACCACCAACCTCTGAGCCACGCACTGCTTTATCTCAGCCTTTCTCGCATGAAAAGGCACGTAGGTACCGAACAAATTAGCAATTAAGATTAGATCGGCTGTCGGACACCGATCTAATTTTTCAAGGGTGGAGTGCAGTGCAAATTCGTCTCAATTAAACATCCGAAACAACCAAACCAAAGCACTTAGGGAATGGAAACAAAAGTACTCACCAAGAGAATGAGATGAATATCCTGGACGAGCCCCCAAATCTATGTTACGCACCCATCTAGGTGAGGTGCCAAAAATAAAAGAAAAGGAAATTACCGTCGGCCCCAAGGGTGTGATAAAAAAAAAAAAAAAACACGGCCTGAGGTAACAAGGTAACCGGTTACATTGAACAAAAATTAGCCCAAGGGCAAAAAGGTGCAAAAAAGAGTAGCTTTTTTACCCTAAAACTAACTAAGGAAACACGAACCCTTGAAGACGCTAGTCGGAGGGAGACCACAAGCACTGCTATCTGATACACCGCCGCTTCCTGTCACTCCACTGACGATCTTGACGATTGGCGCCGTTATTTGTTGGCCAATCAGAAAGGGCCGCTCCTTAGGCTCTGCAAAGATCCTACTTAAAACAGAAGAGCACTCATTCCCACATACAATTCTGGCGACAACAGCCACGATCACACGAACAAAACCAACAGAAGTACAAGCAATACGGTACATAATACGGCCAGGGGCCGTAACAAACGTCAAATATGAACCACATCATGTCACACTAATTGTCACGTTGACGTGATCATTACGTACATTTCTGGGACGTACTGTGACCAAAATTTGAGCAATGTGGATTTTTTTGGATGCCGGCCGATGTACACCAAAACATGTTCGTCGATGGGAGTGGAGGTGGGTGAATTCAGGGGAATACCAGACTTGATTCGCTACAATTTCGACCTGGATTGGACGAGCCGTCCGATAGTTCTCTCGAACCTCCCAATGGCCACAACTTCCGAAATTTCATACTCATGTTAAAAATGCTACTACCAGTACATTTGCACTATATATACAAACCCAGTACTGTTTTGTACATTTCCAAAAAGTTTAATGTCATTCTAAAATATTCAACTGAAAATATGAAAGATGTCAAATCATTCTTATGTTTAACATCACGAAAACTTTTTAACATTCAAGACATATCTGAAAGCAGGACAGAACATACGCATCCCAAAAGCACCATGCGTCACTCAATTTATTCACCTTTTATGATATTTTTCAAGTTTGATTTCACATCATTGTCAAATATGCATTAAATATACATTTCCGGTACCAATTTTAATTTATAGTGATCTCTGTGGACTCCAGCCCAGGACCAAGATACCACGTTGGTGCTAATGTGACCCGCTTTGGCCGAATGAACACACCCTCTTACTCCATGTTGGGCCGCGGAAAGCGCATTGGTAACCAAGGTAAACATATGAAAATTTCAGACAATAGTTAGTGCATCAATAAGTAACACCTTTTTCGTCATAGATGACAAATTCCAGACTCCGGGACCAGGAGCCTACAGCCCAGAGAAGGTTCCACCTCTCAACGCTGAGCGCCGACCGCCAGCCTATACGATCGGAGCCCGCACACGCTATCGCTCTGTGGATCCCGTACCAGCACCCAACAGGTGAGGGCAGTTTCGTGCTTAATTTTATTATTTGGGAAAACGAAATTGCATTTCTGAACGGAGCCAGCAAACTTTCAAAAAGGATTTTCATTTTTTTGGGTCGGCATGGATAACATTAGAAGACCTACAAAAAAAGTCTCGAAAAGCCATACGAGAAAAGATAGGAAATCCACCATTTTAGTTTGTGAAGTGGCCATTTTATGATAAATTGCATGCAACCACTTTAAAAAAAAGTGAACCGGAAGCCAGTTTTACTTAACAACATGAAATTTGGTGATTGGATACATTGTTATTGTTTAACAGTTACACGCTCCCCAAGCTGTTGGGCAATCAGGTCCCCAACAAGCCGTCCGGCGTCAGCTACAGCATGTCGGCCCGCCGGAAGGTGGGCGGCCCCTCAGTGGACCTGGCCCAGAGCCCAGGGCCTGGCAGGTACAACAGCACCAATCCGGACGTCTACCTCCGACGCCAGCCTTCCTTCTCCATGCAGAGCCGGACCAAAAGGCCCACGTACTCCTCGGCCACCCCGGGCCCGGCCGCCTACCGCCCAGAGCGTTCTGGGGTGCACCTTGGCAGGGCGCCGTCTTTCACCATGGGGATCCGCCACTCAGAGTTTGTCACACCACTTGTGCTGGACGTTGTCCACTGACCAGTCAGTGTCTGAGGACAGCACTGTAAAACAAAGCTAGCTTGGTTGTTTTAAGGACTAACTGACAAACAAATACGGCACGCCGACATGTTGCGATGTCACACTTATGTTGATTGTATTGCCTTCATGGATTGAAGAATAGCTTCCTCTTATGGGGGAAAAAAAATAAAATAAAATCTGCGTTTTGGCAAGGGCTCCGCCGCTTAAAAATGGCACTTTCGCGACGTCTTGGTGGATGTCTGACGAGTCACGTGGGATTCGTCAAAAATACTTGACGTGGAAAAATGACTTCATGTATAACAAACACACACCAAGTACAGTGGAAAAGGAGATGTTTGTCGGATTTCAAATTTTTACCAATTCATGAAAATTAAAGAATACAGAGAGACAAATGCAAACACTCTTGTTAGAAAGATACTTTATTTGTTTTGCGGTCTCAATTGTTTCATTTTGATAAAGATTTTTTTTAAACTAAAAAAAACACTTGTTTCAAGAATTTTACATTTTTTAAAAAAACATTTTCCCCCGATCTATTTAAAAAAAAAGATTATTTTGTTTTATTTATTTTTTTGCATGTCTACTTTTTCGCAAGGTCATCAGTGAGGAGGATAAAGGCAAAGACAGAAAAATGATTTGCTTGCAAAAACAAAACATTGTCCTTGTCTTTCATTTTCTCCAAAGATTTTTTTTTTGTTTGAAAAAAAATTACATTAAAAAATGGTTCCTCTTTAGTTTTTTTTAAAGGTTGCAGAAAAAGTATTTTTTATGTACCCATTTTTTTTTTTTGTTATTTTGTTTAGAAAACAAAAAAATACCATCCACCCATCCATTATGTGAACTGCTTCCCCTCCTCACGAGCATCGTTGATGTGCTGGAACCTATTCCAGCTGACTTTGAGCAGTAGGCGGGGGACACCCTCAACTGGTTGCCAGTCAATCACAGGGCACATAGTGACAAACACCTGTTCGCTCTCACAGTCACACCTCGGAACGATTTCATGCATTCAATCAACCTGCCATGCATGTTTTTGGAATGTGGGTGGAGACTGGAGCTACTCGTGGGAAACCCACGCAGCTACTGGGAGAACATGCAAACTCCACGCAGGAAGGCCGCAGCCGGAATCGAACCCTGTGCCTCTGCACTGTGATGTGGACGTGCTACCGAGTTGACCCACAGCCGGAATCGAACCCTGTGCCTCTGCACTGTGATGCGGACGTGCTACTGAGTTGACCACCGTGCTGCCCACGAAAAATACTTGTCTGATAAAATTATCTTTTCAAATACATATTGCTCAGCAGTCTGCAATTGCGGCTTGCGGTCAGAGCTGTTGCTATATAGGTTTAATTATAATAATAATAATCATAATTTTATATATATATATATAGATATAGATATATAGATATACATCTATATCTATATATATATTTTTTTTTTCATTAAACATGATAGTACAAAATCCAATGGTTGAAAAAAAGCTACCGTTCAAGCTAACGAGGGTCCACTGTATTCGGAGAAGTTTCTGCCGCTCCTTATCGCCCTCTAGCGTCCATCCTGAGTAAAACATGCAGATTTATCCGGTATTTATCCGGTGTGAGCGCGCGTCACACCTGTTCTCGGCTGTCTTTGTGAGGCCACGACAGCTTCCATCCAGTCGGGCCTCCGTCGGTGGATGTGCGCAGCGAAGTGAAGGCCTTGCTGATCCAGTTGTTCTTGGCATCCTGGAGGTCGTGGGCCAGGATTCCCCTCTCGTGCTCCATCTCCTGCGGCGACACAACACCGCGTGAACGACTGGAAGCAAATTTACAGTTAATATCAATGACTTGTGGCAGTGTCAAACGGGCGAGGAATACTGCATCCATGTGAAAAAAAAAAAAAAGACAGATACCAACATTTTCCCTTCGCTCTCGGGTGGCCTCGGACACCCTTAGCCGCCGTGTAGCTCTGCCCCCGCACGAAATTATAGACAACTTTTTAAAATTTGTTTTGTCGGAAATGCACTTTTTACTCATACGTTCTGATTTATTTTCTCACACCGGTACAACTTTTCTGCTTGAAGACGATGAGCTTATTGTATTTTTTCTTGTTTATTGGAATATTTCCCGTCACATTTTGACTTCTGAAACTCTTCTCAAAACATTTCATGTTTGTGGTCACATTCCAAATTTTTCTGGTAAAATTTGGAGTTTGTCCTCACGTTCTGGGTTTCGTTTTACCGCATGACCACATTTCTTCATATCTGGAGTGTCAAAAGATTTTATTCTCTGTCTTAAAGTTCCAATGTCATGATTGAAACGGCATTATTTTAAATCTCGGATTTTAATTTTTTCTTCAGATAAAAAGTGTACCTGGATCTTACAGTTGGCCTCCACCACCTGTAATTTCGTCTGAGCCAGCTCCTTCTCCAACTGCCTGATCTGAGCCTTGAGGGAGGCCCTCTCCTGGTTCTCCCGCCTCAGTTCCGCCTCGGTTGGACCCGAATGTTGCTGTTCCCATCCCGGCGCCACCGCTGCGCCGCGGTCATGTGAGGGCGAAGTTGGCGCGTCGGACCGGCAATCCGAGGCTTCGCCTTCTTGGTATTCCGCCACGTGATGAGAACAACGTGGACAGGCCTTCACTGCACTCTGCAATCGACAAAAAAAAAGGTTAAAATGAATTGCTGAATTCGAAGAATATAGTCAAAATGCTAGGAAAACACGAGTGAATTTGACTGTTGGAATGTGACGACAAATTTGTGAAGTGATGACGATAAAAAGTTTTTGGCAAAGTCACAATAAAAAAAAAAAAGGTTTAAAGTCAGTAATAATAATATAAATAAATTAAGTCTTACTGTTCGGATTCATTTTTAAAATTCTTGTCATTTTTTTTACGTATTTTTTCTCGTAACATGACTGACTTTCTCGCAGTATTGTGACTTTTTCGCAAAATTAAGATTTTTTTGAATCCATTTTTCTCCCTACAATTTTTTTTCCTCACATTAGAACTTTATTTCTGTGACATTAACAATTCCTTCTTGTAAACGTTTCTCAAAATGTCTTTATTTGTTTCTCACAATACCGTGGCTTTTTTTTTTGTTGTGACAATAAGATTGCTTTTGTCGTGTCAATGTAGCAAAACCACTTTTGGGGGGAAGAATGTGACTGTTTTTGAAACATTTCGACTCAAAATATTACAATTTTACTCCCATAACATTATGCTTTTTTTTCTTGCACGGTAAGACTATTTCTGACAGCATGACACCTTTTTTCTTGTAATATTACAATTTTTTCTTGTCGTGAATATCGTGAAAATTTCCTTTGATTTCTCGTGTGCTGAAATGTCACCTTGAGCGAGCGCACTTCTTGCGCGTGCGCGTCCTGTTGCCTCTCCAGACGAGTCGTCAGCTGAGAGCAGATCTAAAACGATGGGAGAGCATCAACATCATGTGACTTATGACATCATCAACGCGCGCCTTCTGGCAACGTACCTGCTTGTAGTCCGCGATGATGCCTGACGACCGCTTCACTTCTTGCTCGGCCCGCTCCAGCTCCCGTCGCAACACTTCCTTCAACTTTTAATAGCGGGGGCGGGGTTGGCTAGTCAAGGTTTGTATCTCCATAATTATTCTTATTATTAATTGGCTGTGAATGAAGTTTGGCGTGAACACTCCCACAGTGGCGCAG